TCTTCTTCTTCTTCTTCTTCTTCTTCTTCTTCTTCTTCTTCTTCTTCTTCTTCTTCTTCTTCTTCTTCTTCTTCCTCTTCCTCTTCCTCTTCCTCTTCCTCTTCTTCTTCCTCTTCTTCTTTAGTGAGGAATGGCTTTCCATACAGGGTCTTACAGGGGCTCAGTCCTAACTTTTGAGGGGTGTTTCTAATTCTTAGGAGGGCAGTGGGGAGAAGGGTGGTCCAGGGAAGCTCTGTCTCCAGGGTGAGCTTATGCAGGTGATTCCTTAGGATTGCCTTACCCTTTTTTTTAACCTTTTCTGTGAGCATTGAGAGTGCTGTGCACAACACAAGTCATATGGAATACCCGAGGCTGTATCTGAGTTCTCTTGGCCAAGGTTGGGCCATTGTCACTTTGGATTCCTTGAGGCAATCAGGGAATGACTTCATGAACTAAGCCTCAGACTGCTTCACTTGCCTCTTCTTTCCTGCATGGGAAAGCCTCTATGCATCCTGTGGAAGTGTCTGTCCATACCAAGAGGAACTGAAAACCCTGGGCTGAGGACATATGAGTGGTATATGAGTGAAGTCTATTTGCCAATTTTCCCTTGGGCATGTTCCTGGCCTCTGGAGACCTGCAGGGGGCTCCCCACATGCTAAGAGGGTTCGTTCTTTTGCAGGTCTCCCGTCCTCTAACTATATGGGGCACTGCCTGTCTGAGGCCCTTTTTGAGGAACAGGCAGCCAGTCATTTGTCGTGTCTCCTCTTCCCTGAAGAGGAAAGACTGGTAAGGGTTGTTGGAATTTTCCATTGACTGACCTCAGGAAGAAGAGCCTTCCATCCTCAGCCTATAACCAACCAGAGGGCCCTCCTTGAGGGCCTTGGCTGTTTCAGTGGAGGAATATTGAGCTTGATATTATTTAGGGAATGTTCTCATTAGAAGGGGAAGGAGTTCAACAAAGCCCCTGGTTGATGTCCCTGAGCTGCCTGCTCACCTGATTGCCTGTGTTAGTCTCATCATTCCCCTTTTGATGTTCCTTGTAGTGTATTACTGCCACCCCCTTGGGAAGATATACAGCCCTCAGGAGATGGTCTGTTTCCTGATGGTACCAGATGGTGAATCCAAAGACTGTGAGAAAAATATCCTTCTTTCTGGATGGCTGCATGAACATGAAGGCCAAGGAAGCGTACTTGGATTCAGTATCTGTACATTTACCACTTTGCTTCTCTAAGTTGCAATGCCTGGTCAAGGCTGTTAACTCAACTGGCTGGGCACTCATCCTGCTTGGGAGTGCTGAGCTCTTGGTTGTCTGAGAGTAGCTTGCTGTAGCCTATCTAGCCATTTTAGTTCTAGGCTTTACAAATGAACTCCCCTCAGTAAAGAGATTCCAGTCTGGATTTTTCCAGGAGAATCCCTGCAGTCTTCCCTTGTAGTCTAAGTGCCATTCCCTACCTGCTTACATAGCCAGTCCTCTTGATGTCTTAATGGGGAAGTATGGCAGGGTTTCTCAGCAGGCAGGTCTTAATCTGGATGGCTGGCCCCTCTAACAGGAAGACTTGGTATTTTACCAGCTGCCTATTGGACATCCTAAGGCTATCCTTATGGGCCAGCAGTCCTGAAACATGGCATGGAGCATAGACTGTCAAGTCATTGCCCAGGGTTACTTTGGCAACCTCAGGGATCAGGAGAGCTACAGCAACAACTGCTCTCAGCAAGCTGACCACCCCCTAGCCACCAAGTCTAGTTCTTTGTTCACATTCCCCACAGGTTGTTGTTCAGGCTCTTAACTTGAGTCAGTACTCTTGACTGCCATTGCCTTTCTTTCTGCAACACATAAACTAAATGAGTGGCCACCTGGCAAGCTCAGTGCTGGGGCATGGAGGAGTACCTATTTTAGGGTCTTGAAGCCCCTTTGGTCCTCAGGGTCCCATTGCAATGTGGGTTTGAGGCATCTCTGAGCATCTGGTGTAGGAGTTCAGCTATTTCTTCAACCTAGGAATCTGTAGCTGGCAGAACTGTAATTCCCGGAAAGCTTCTTAATTGTTTTAAGGTTTTTGAAGGGGAAAATGATGTTATTGACTTAATGTTCTCCCTTTCCAGTGCTTGAGTCTTCGGTAAGCCGATCAACTCCAAAACCTGTACTGAGAATTGGCACCTTTGGACCTTATTCTTAGAAACAATTCATAAACCCTTTGTGCCAAGAAGTTGAGGGAGCTTGAGTTTCGGTGTGATAATCTTTTTTAGTCAGGGCAGAAACCAGGAGGTCAGGGCAGAAACCAGGAGGTCATCTACATACTGAAGAGTATCTCCTCTGGACAAGACATCTCTTGAAAGAACCTGTCCAAATGTATGAGGACTATTGCAAAACTCCTGGGGTGGGCTGTGGATATAGCTCAGAGGTCTAAGCACCTGCCTAGGCAAGCACAAGAACCCAGGTTCGATCCCCAGTACCACATAGGGTATCAGCCCCACCCTGCGTGCACTGAGCTCACCACCAAGAGCAGACAACATGGTGAATGCCTGTAATCCCAGCACTGGGGAGGCTGAAAACAGGAGGATCACTATCAGTCTGAGCTGCATAGTGAGACCCTGTGCCAAATACATAAAATTAGAAAAAAAAAAAGAAAGAAAAACTCCTGGGGCAAGACTATCTTGGTTAACTAACAGGATGGTGTGGAAGGGTCCTCAAATGCAAAGAGATACTGACAGTCTAGGCTTAGAGGGATGCAGAGAATAGTGGTTTTTTTTTTTTTTTTGTTATTGTTGTTGTTTTTGTTTTTTAAATCCCAAACCAAGAACCACTTAGAGCTTTCTAGTACCTAGGTTATTAAAGTGTAAGGGTTAGGTACTAGAGGGTATGAGGTTATAATAGCCTGATTGATAAACCCCAGATCCTGCACTGGCCTCCAGGCTCTGTTGGCTTTTGTATTACACCTAGACTAGGAATGTGCAGATGCTGTTGCAAGGTGTCAAAAGGCCTTGCATCTTGAGATTTTCTGCGATCTGATTTAGCTCCTCTCATGCCTCTGGCTTCAGTGGGTATTGTCTGATGTGGAAAAGAGGCAGTGTCTCATAGGTGTATCATTACTAGAGGGTTATTAGTTGCCCATCCAGTTCATCTTCCACCTGTGGGGTTACCCCGGGCTCCTGGAGGGTTATGACCTGGACAGAGGGAACCTCAGAGGAACACACCAGGCCTCCTTAGTCCTGTTGAACCATCACCTGGGAGGCTTATGTGCCCCTGTGGCCTTCACCTAAAAGGGCACATTCTTGTGGCATTTATTTTTACAGTGTGGACAGGGGGGTGGTAGAGTGGTGCCCTGAATCCTTAGCCCAGATTCCCACACTGGTAACAGGCTTTATGAGAGTCTCCTTGGTGCCCTGTGTGTCAGGTTTTCCTAGTAGTACACCTGCAAGTAAGGAGGCTTTTCTTTGGTCCCTACAGTCTCCCGCCTTTGCCTGTTCCTTGTCTGTGTGAAAGAAGGTTCTGGGGGCATGCTTAAGAATATCATCCAAGGGTGCCTGGGGACCTAAATCCATTCCTGAGTTTTTTCTTGCTCTCTGGGGCTGCCTGAATAATAAACATCCTTGAGTAGAACTTGGCATCTCCGGCACCCAGGTGAAATGTTGGTGTGCTTAATTAGGGCCCCTTTTGGTCTTTCATAGAAATCTTTGGGGATTTTGTTCCCTTTGTATTATTTCAGAGAGCTTTTGGTAATAGCTAGTTTTTCTTTTGATCCGCAAAGACCCTCTGGGGTGTAAAGCACAAAGAGCCCATGTCTTACATGTCCCAATGCAGTCATGAGAAGCCATTTTGGGACATCTCTGGGCACTGATCTCTCCTGGTTAAAATATAGGGATCTTGAACAACTTGCACAAGATACTGTTCATTCCCATATCTTGGGGCATTTATTAATACCCTGTTTATCATGGTGGTTGTGAGAATTTGTGTCTGAGGAAGGCATACATGTGTAGGAGCCAGGTTGTAATTTTCAGCCCGTTTAGCAAAGACCTCTGTAAAACTTAACCAGGTCCTCAGAAAATCTTCTCAGTTCCATTTTTATCTGTCCTAATTCCTTTAGGGCAAAAAGGGTGTGGACTCACTGGGTTCCTCCTGTTCAAGGGTTTGACCCCATTACACAAAGAGGAAATGCCGATGTGGGTCTTTCAGTCTAAAGGACTTGCTAAATGACCCCAGGTAGGGAGGACAAGCAGGCAGCCGTGGAGGCTGTTTACTCTCCCAGGGTAAAGGAGGGTAGAGATGGTTCAAGGGTATAGTTTTCTCCCCTTCTTCTGTCCCTTTGGGCTCCCTTGTCCTTTTAGGGGTAGCGGCTGGCCCTCTCCATGCCCACTGGGCTTGTGTATCTCCTTTTGCTTCCCTCCCAGTGCCATAGCGGCCTGCATGCAGAGCTGGGTCAGCTCTACATGTCTTACAAAGTTTCTCATCTCTGAGGGCAAAGGAAACCTGAATGTGAGGGATCCCTGACCATTTCCCTTCCCTTTTACAGGATAGATCTAGCTATGGGATGGCATTGTAATCTCTACTCCCTTTGACTGGCCAGGTTTCTTTATCTCCCAGTGGATATCCTATCCTTGCATGTGTGCAGAAAAAAAAAAAAATCAGTCACTTTCACTTCAATGGGCGAGGATCAAATTTCTGAGTTCTTGAGAACACATGCCAGAGGTGTGTCCACAGAGGGGAGAAGGCTGACTGAATTTCCCATCTGAAACACACATAGAAGGTGGGAGGTATGAGAGGGTCCGAGTCATACTTATCTGATGTCCCCCTTTCTTAGCCTCTCAAGGCAGTGATAGAGAGGGGCTAAGCCCTCTCCTGTTATCAGCAGCCCAGACACATTCTGGCCCATCACAGGGGAGCTATTTGCTTCAGTGCCGCCCTTCACCCTCTGTTCAGGGCACCACAGGAGGCTCCTTGTTTTCCCACTGCCTCCCTCAGCAGTGAGGAAAGCCCATTTCCCCTTGGGCTCCAGGCTGCAGTTGGGAGGTGCTCAGGGAGAGCCGCAGAGAAGAGGAGAAGGTCCTGCCTTCCACTGAGGCTTCTAAGGTCCCCTCCTCCTGGGAGATTTTCTAGGCAGAATAAACTGAGGACTTCCCCATGAGTGGTGGAAAGCCCTCTGGAAAATGTCCTGCATTGATTGATATATGTTGAGTTGCTGGCTTTTTCCTAGCGAATATAGTCCTATGTTAAGAGGTGCCCTGAGCCTACAGAAGTGAGATTAAAATCTGTGCCCTGTGTCCACTGCAGTGTGAGCTGGCCCAGGAGAAGTCTCTCCTGTGTGTTGGCCAGGTGGTCCTTCAGCGTCTGCATCTCTTTTAACCCAGCTCTGTGTTGGTACCAGTATGGGACAGAAAACAGGGTGTGTGTGTGTGTGTGTGTGTGTGTGTGTGTGTGTGTATGCACATGTGTGTACGTGTACGCACCTGGTTGCAGGTAAGCCTTTGATGTCAGAGTGTAAATTTTTTTTATTTGTATTGTACTTCCTCCAAGATCTCTCCCTTTTGATTTGGGACCTGCTTTTTGTCCCTTGTATTTTATTAGGCCCTGATACTTGCTTAAGTCAATTACTCGGGCCCTCTGGTGCACTAACTCACTTAGGTCCTGACTTTCAGTTCACTTTAAGTTAATTATTTAGGACCTGTGTCCTATCTGTGTCCTATCTATGTAACTTGCCCTACCTCCTGGCTTCCACTGTACTTATTACTTCAGTTTTTGTAATTTTAAAATATATTTAATATTTTTGGGAGCAAATTCTTTTCCATTATTTCCTCACTACTCTGCCAAGTTTCTCACTGTAACCCTGATTTTCTGCTGTCACTCGCTCCCGTCACATCCACGTGGGGTAAAGAACACATTTTTCGGCTCAGAACAGACCCAGTTCTTGCCTTGGGTTTCATACAGTTCAGATCAGTAATCTGTAATTGCCCAAATAGACAGGAGAGCGAATTTCCCCGGGACTGCAGCTTGGGAGACAAGCCTTGGAAAGCAGAACGACAAATCTAGGTTGTTTAGCCTCACAGAATGCCTGAGAGCCAGTGTACTGAGGTTTGGGCTTTGACATTCGGGAGGAAAAGTTGAACTGTTTAAATAATAAGGTGGGGAAAGCCTTTGGCAAACAGGGCAGAAAACAGTGGAGAAGTCACGTGTTGACTGAGTCAGCCAGGTGACAGAGGCGCATTTTACACAGCAAGGCACACACTAGACTGGAAAAGGGCAGTGTGGCTCTGAACAAGCAAGGACTAGCCTTCACGCCTGTGGTCCGGGCCCCTTGAGTGAGATCTTTGTTCTGCTGTTACTGAGGGTGGCAAGGAGTTGAATGGGTTTAAGAAGTTAGCCAAGAGATTAGAGGAACTAAAATTATTTATCTTGGAGAAGAACAGAGGACTAACTTCAAAAAGCCTGAGGAAGTTTCTTTCACAGAAGTGCCAGTCTCCCTGTGAGCTAACAACAGGAAATGGGAGATAAAAACCAGTTACTTTACTGTTACACAAAGCAGCCCAGAGGGACTTGCTGCAAAAAGGCCAGAGGACAGTAATTGTTAGAGGGGGAGGGTGACGTTTTACTCTTGGGTCCTCATTGCTGCAAGAACCTTGCATTTGTCTTTTTCACATGCACCGTGAAATTTCTTCCTGGACTCCTGACACTGACATAGACCTTCAATAAAGATGTTATGTGAGACCTTCGCTATAGCGGAGGCTGTTCTAGGTGACCCCCTACTTCCCATCCCGAGTCTCTGCCAGGCCTATGGATCAATGACAAGCATGGTTTGTGTCACCATGACTGGGTGACTTCAGAAGAAATTCTAGATTGACTGATTGATGGATTAGTTAATTTATTTGCAGTGTTGGGGACTGAACTCAGGGTCTTGGCTGTGCTAGGCTCTACCACTAGCTCCATCCCCAGGCCAGGAAATTCTGCATTTAACACTTAGAAGCCACTGGGTTCTCTTGCGCCTGTTGTTTTCCCTGTCCGCTCTCCTTTTATCTGGTCCTGCTGGGAGCCATGCCCACCGCTCTTCACAACAGACTCCATGTCTTCTCCAGTTTGATTCTTGGTCCTAGACCTGGACATCTTGCTGGTTTTTCCAGAGAGTTC